GAGCGCAGCCGCGCTTCCCAAGCGGCGCACTAGCGCAGTGCGCCACCGGGCCGGCCCATGTATTCCATTTAATATCCTGGAAAGAGCAGTTGATTTTGGGAACTGACATATTGTTTTTAGATTTCCTCTTAAAATATTTTTTAGAAGATATAGAAGGTTGGAGGTTTGATTGCTTTTTTAGTCATCAAGACATAAAGAAACTAAAGGCATTAAAATAGTCCTGTAATGGCAAAGACATATATATCACCGGGATGTACCACAAGGTGTTGAAAGAGACTGTGTGTGTGTGTGTGTGTGTGTGTGTGTGTGTGTGTGCGCACGTGCTGCACGCTTATGCATGCTAATGTGCTTAGACACACGGACACTAATGTGCTTAGGCACACGAGTGTTTACCTGAGAATTCAAAATATACTAAAAAATTTTCATAGAAATAAATATATACGTGTGTGTGTGTGTGTGTGTGTGTGTGTGTGTGTGTGTGTGTGTGTGTGTGTGTGTGTGTGTGTGTGTGTGTGTGTGTGTGTGTGTGTGTGTGTGTGTGTGTGTGTGTGTGTGTGTGTGTGTGTGTGTGTGTGTGTGTGTGTGTGTGTGTGTGTGTGTGTCTTTCAAAAGAGTGGGGAAAAATAAATATTTAATATGTATTAAAATATTTAATAAATATGTAAAGTCCATATGTCCTTTAAATATTTAATATTTTAATAAATGTTTTTTGGAAAATTGTTCATTTAGAAATAAAAGACCATTAATACAAAAATAAATTCCGTATTGATTTAATATTAAAATATTTTTTATAGTACCAGCAGAAAACATAGAATAGTGTTTTTATAGTCCTAAGATAAAAAATGGCCTTTAGACTTTTATTTAAAAAATTTTCACTTTGAAATAATTTCAACATTATTACAAAGAATGTCCATATATCTTTCATTCAGATTCACAAATGTTAACATCCTACAGAACCACAGTTCAAGTATTAAAACCAAGAAACTGACATTGATATAGTATTATTATCTACTGCCCTTACTCAAATTTCTCCACTTGTCTCATCAATACCCCTTTTCTGTTCCAGGATCCAGTCTAGGATCCTTGATGTTGCAATTAGGTGTCACAACTCCTTAGTCTCTTTTAATCTAGAAGAGTCCCTCAGTCTTTCTTTGTCTTTCATGACCTCGACATTTTAAAAGAATACTGGCCAGCTATTTTGTAGAACATCTCTTAACATGAACTTAGCTAATATTACTTCATGATTAAATTTAGATTTTGAATCTGTAGGAAGAATACCACAGAAGTAATATTAGTAGGTATATGATGTCAGTTTCAAAGACCTTTTAATGCATGAAATAAAATCAGAAACCATGGAGATCGAATGACTTGACCAAATAAACACTCACATTTTTTTTTTTAACCTGGAAGGGACCGTTTGTTCATTTTTTATTTTGTTTTAGTGTACATTTTTATGGGGTACAGTTTGTTGTTTCAATAACATTGACATTTTTATCATGGCAAAATATACCATAATAAAAAATACAAATGGATTGTGATATAATGGCTCAGGGCAATGACAGAATGGGATGCTCATAGGTTGGTGGGAGTACATCGATTCCTTTGGCCTCTTGTATTTCTTGTTAACTGGAAGTTAGGTCCACAGGCTTGCTAGGTTCAGGTTAACTGTATTTGGCTAGAACACATCTTAAGTGAAGTTGCATGCTTTATGTAGTTGCATCACGCCAAGTGACACATGGTATCTGATTATTCCTTATTCCCTTTTTTAAAAATATATTTGTCATTTTGATAAGTAATTCCTGGTTATTACCAATTTTTATATCTTTGTCATTATTTTAATTTGCATTTCTCTATTATTTGCCTTTTGAAGATGGTGTGAATAGGAAAGAGAAATACATAGAAAAGAGATTAAAGCGAGAAATTGGAAAGTTTGGATGGAGCAGGAAAAAATAATAGGACACGTGAGGCAGTTGTGATGGCATCGGCTTTCTTCTTTCAGTCTTTCCTAGTCACAAGCGCTAATTTGTCTGGTCTGCCTGAGACCATGGCTATCACAGTGAAATTCACATCTTTCTGCCAGTAGCATCTCAGTTCCCCGGTGGAAGGTGGGGTTGCTGAAGTGTGTACAGCAGCTGAGAAACTGAGCACTCTCAGGAAGTCTCCTGTAAAACACTGCCGGGAAGCTGTGAGATCAAAGCCCTGTGGTCCTGTGACTCCCCGGTTGTGCTTGCTGATGGTTGAACCCTCTCATTCTTTAAGCCCAGAAAGATTGGTCCTGCTAAACACTGTAAAAATGGGTGTCTCCTTTTTCCTTAATGAGTGTTACCCCGTTGCCTTAAGAGTAAACTAAGCACAGTATCATTTATTTTAAAATTCTGTAA